GTTAAGATTATCTCCTTTGTAACATAGTGCATTTGTATGCTTAGTTTTTTTCAGGGTTAATTGCATGGCTGGTCACTGAAATTACAAAAAATGTTCATATTTGGTCACTGTAAATATTTAAATCCAATGTTGGTCACTCAAATTAGTTAAATGGTTCAAGTTTGGTCACTCTCCGTCCAACTCCGTTAAATTTGTCTGATGTGGCAGTCAACCCTCAAAGTTAACCGTTAACTCAGTGACGTGGCAATTAAAAAATAATAAATAAAATAAATTTTAATCTTCTACCATTTCCAACTCATTTTCACGATAAAGTAAAATAAATAAAACAAAAAAATGTTATATTTACAAATTGAAAAGGGCTCATCACCGACGACAACAACCACCACCTCTCCTCCGTCGCCGACGACACCAACCACCGCCTCCGCCGCCGCTACCAGGACCTCTCCACTATCCTCCCCCACCGACTCGGCCCCGACAATCTCCTCTCCAACGGTGGTTGTGGTCCCGATCCTCGAGGGCCGATTATGAATTATACAAAGCAACCCACTCTATCCGCGCCAGTCGACATTTCCTTTTTGTTTCTATGAAGCCGATCTTTGCGACTCCGTGGCGTGATTCATCTTCTCTTCTTCTTCACTTCTCCAATCAACTTCCCGTAATCACTCATTCACTCTACATTTCTTGAATTCTTGATACTGTGAGCCGATCGCCGCGCCGCCGCCGCCGCTTTCTCCTTGTTCTGTAGCGGGCTCCACAGAATTCCCACCCAAAAAGGTTCGCTGTCGTGTTCTTGATTTTAAGTTTCGCTGCCCCTTCATAACTCCGCTTGTGGGTATCTCTATTGGGTCTTTGTTTTCATCTACCGTCATCGCGAACTTTCAGAAAACAGAGGGAACCACCAAACCGGACGGCTATTCCAATGGAGGACGCCGACGTCGTCGAGATTTCCCCGCTCTCCCTCTCGCCTTCCCACTTCACCAGGAAGAGAAAATAGAAACAGGTTGGTTTTCAGTGCTTTATCTTTTCCGGAATTCCAGATGACGATTGGCCTTGCCCCCTTTATTTTCTGATCGTGGGGTTTTCTTTTAGATGCGTTTCGTTTCATTTCGTTTCTCTTCTGGCTAGGACTTCTCTTTTTCCCCTCCATTGATGATCAGGGTTTTTGCCCCTTACCCATTTGCGTGCTTTTCTGGGTGCCGAATGAGGTGCTGAATGAGTTATTGCGTTCTTGGAGGCTCTACTGTCTGGGTTCTATACTTCTTTCTAAAATATTTGAGCCCCCTTGGTTTGTAGAGTACATAACCGTGATGTAGTTATCTGCTGGTAGCGATATAGGTAGTGGGATTACTTGCGACCCTTAACTCTTTAGAGCAGCTAAGTTCCGAGCAAGAATGTAGAACATACATGCCGCTTGTTTGGTTAGTCGAATTCATTCTCCAGCAGATGGTTTCTTTAGTATTATATCTTCGAGGATCAGGGGAACGTCCTTGGAGAGGAGATCGTCGGGGCCCAGTCGTTGGGGGAGGATGGTGGAGAGGTCCTGGTACCGGCGGCGGAGACGGTGGTTGTTGTCATCGGCGGCGGAAGAGAGGTGGTGGTTGTTGTCGTCGTCGGTGATTGAGCCCATTTTCAATTTGTTATTATAATATTTTTTATTTTATTTATTTGACTTTATTGTGAAAATGAGTTGGAAATGGTAGAAGATTAAAATTTATTTTATTTATTATTTTTAATTGCCACGTCACTGAGTTAACGGTCAACTTTGAGGGTTTACTGCCACATCAGACAAATTTAACGGAGTTGGACGGAGAGTGACCAAACTTGAACCATTTAACTAATTTGAGTGACCAAGATTGGATTTAAATATTTACAGTGATCAAATATAAACATTTTTTGTAATCTCAGTGACCAACCATGCAATTAACCCTTTTTTTAATGTTCATTTTGGCATCAAATGAAAGGTCAACGTGTTTGTACAGATTTAGGTTGCACATGCAAATATATCCAGGCTTCTTTGTTTGACCCAAGATTATTACTAATGATTTCAGATTCAACGTAGGTTCTAATTAAGATTAGTACCTTCTTCAATTCATGGCATAAATTTTCCAGGAATTAATTTCCCTTCCTTATGATTATGTATTTTACTGTCCTTATCAAGTGCAGTATTCCGTGATTAGTTTAGATCCTACTGTGGAATGCTATTTTTTAATCTATTTTCATGAAATCGGAAAATGCATAAGGTCCCCCATGCATCAGCGGCCCTAATGTTTGTACTACGGGATGAAATTCCGATTGGGCTGAATATTAAGAAATTCGAATCCAACTTGAGCTGACTATAACAGAAGTAGCCAAGCTATAACCCAAGGGGATTAGCCTACAATTTGTTGCAGCCTCGCTATCGGCTATCCATCCCCCCTATTATTCCTTTCATCCTTTGCCTTTTTGGGTTATTTTTTCCCATGCTTTTTGCATGCTACAGGTGGTGTTCCATCCCTATGTTTCCTCAACAGCAATTGCACACACAACAACCACTTAACATATCGCGCATCAGTGGGGAGACTTTACCCCACTCTCTAGCTCATGTCCAAAGTTCTAATGATTAGAACTTCTTCCCCAAAATAAATCTGCATAATCAATCTTTCTCATCGGGTTATTCAACTTGGTTCCTTTATCTCTCTCAAACCAGAAAACAATCAAATAAGCTAAATTCCAGCTCTTCATTTTCGCTATCTCATCATGTCTTTCGCTGCTATATCACAACTATTACCAACTAGACAATCACGATTGCGGCTACGGGTTCGTGTTCTGCGGGTATGGCCGACACAGAGCATGGCGGGTGATAAAATATATTGGCTTAACCTCCTGTTCATTGGCCATCAGGTAAGCATGTAGGATGTTTATTTTAACATGATGTTTTTATAATCTGAATCAGAATCATCAAAGTGTTTTTTTTTAGGGTACATCGTGCCAGGGAGTGATTTACAATCTTGATCTTCCCAAATTTGACAAGAAAATTGAAGAGGGAAAGATATATGCTATTTCTAGATTTCAGGTTGCCGATGCTAAAAAACGAGATCGAGTCACCATTTCGACCATATGCATCACATTCACTGCAGAAACAATAGTTGAGGAGCTGGCGGAGGCAAGTGATATTAACAAATACAGCTTCAAATTTCTGAAACCTACCGACTTTGCAACCGCATACGCGAACGATCAATATTTATCAGGTTCAATTACTTTATCCCATCATTTGACAATCAAATAATTAATACAAAGCACTTTCTATGCCATGTCTTTTGTTAGACGTTTCTTCTTTGTCATCTGTTATGCACGGATCAATTAAATACTCAGAAAATGTGTTGTTGTTTCTTTGGTCATTTATTTAGAGAATACATATTAAATTGTTATTATTCCAACGATGCATCCCTTTATTTTAGCTCATCATTTGCCACTTTTTCATTCAATCTTAAATCTATGGAATGTGATGATCATGCCAGATGTAGTTGGTGAAGTTGATCATACAGAACCAACCCGCGAATTATTTTATGGACCAATCCGTGAAAACCATAAAAATGAGTATCTAAAACTGCTAGAGTGAGTCCTCTAACTTTTATGTCATTTGATGTTCACTTGCATGTTGCACATGCTCTAGAGATATCACTTTACTTCTTCATACCTTTTAGGGGAGCCGTCATCCGAGTGGTACTGAAAGGATTCTTAATTCCTACATTTGAAGCATTCGTGCTTTCTCAACCGCAAACAATAGTGGTATGTGCACTTACTTCAGTATATGTGGAGAAAATAAGAGGTATTCTTGCTATACGGGTTCATTTGCAGTTGCACAATCTGATTTATGTTTCAACCTTATAAAAACAACATGTTTTGTTCACTAACTTACCTCATCATTGTTAGGCAAGTATAACTTCGCGACATCCTTAGCATCCATGTTATTTTTGAACTTGAATCAACCTTTCTTGCACACAATGCTCAACCCCTGAGTAAATTTACTTATGTGAAGAAGTTATTTACCAGTGCATAGCTATAAAATAATAACTTCACTATATTCTATTTCTTATACCAGACTAAGAAAAGACAAATACATCGTTAAAGAGGAGTCATATAAAGTTGCCAAAGACCGCGCAAAAATGAGTTCAGTTGCAGACCTAACTTTATTACGATTATGTGGCCAATTGATGGTAAGAAGCCTTAATACACATTTTTTCATGACCCTCTCCTTCAATGCTGCCTACTAATCATACATGTTTACTATTTGAACTTAATTTATTCAAAATCTAACTTTTGTAGGGAAACTACTACATTGTTTCTGGCTATATCCGCGACATGAGAGTTATACGGGAATTCAATTGCAAATAATACATTGTTCAACTCACTATTAGTGACAATTTTGCATCATGTCCGGTTACTTCAAATCACACAAATTCAGATCGATTGCATGTGCTGTGATCAACAAAGATGATGACTACAGGGATAAACACTATAGAGAGCTGCTAAACTCTCTCAGAGACCAATCTTTTTCTTTCCTCTTGAGAGTTCATTATGTATGTTTTAGAGGAAGCAACTCTAATCTTGAACTATATGGACTTCTTAAGTAGCAAAATCCAAATATCTATGGTTTATTTTTTTGTCTTTCAAACATTGTATTCTTTTGATGAAACATATTTCTTATCAAATATTTATATTTTCAGATAATTGTCTAACTTTTCCTGGCCAACAGGTCGGGCCTAGTGCTAGTTTTCCTCTTTGTGTGCTCGTTGATTTCAGAGAAAAACAAGACACAGGGCGGCCGCTTATTGTGGAGCAATCGAAATTAGGATTTTAATTAGGTTAAGGGGTCGTTTGGACAATATGAGTTTAAATTTATAGATTTTCAACAATCTAAAGATTCTAACTCTTCGGATTGTTGAAAACAGATTTTAAAATGTTTATTGTTTGGTAACTGTGATTTTTAACATTCAAGTAAAATAAAAAATTTAATTTTTTATTAAATAACATGTTTATCCTTAATAAAAAATTAGAGTGGTTCGAGAAATATAAAAAACTTTGTTGATAAATATATTTCATGTGATAAATAAATAAAAGGATGAGAAAAATTAGGAGAGAAAAAATCTCACGAATCAAGATATAGAATCTCTCTAATTATGAGAGATTTGATATCCGAAGATTTTAGAGATTTGAAATCTCTAAAGCTAGAATTCACAATACAAAAAGCAACAAAAAAACATAACTTTCAACAAAATCTACGAATTCAGTGAATCCATGTCCTGAATCATGTTCTCCAAACGACCCCTAAGTGTAGTATATACAGTCGGCTCACTCAAAGACCAAATTATCCTCCTAATTTCCTAAAACTTACCAGTCGCTAACGTCCCTATACAAAACAAAAAGTATCGAAAATTAAAAACATCAATCACCATTTGTTTAGTCTATTAACAAGATAGACTACCAGCCTATTAATTGTTCTTTTAAATGTCCTTAATACATAACTCGCATTTAATAAAACGTAATAAGGTTCTCGAGCGTTAACATTTTCTCAAATTACCAAATCCCAATTTCATATTTACCAAATTACAATTCTTAAAAACGCAAATTATATCACATTCAGTATCTCCCTTTTGCATTATTTCGTCAGTATCAACGGCAAGTCGATGAGTGGAGGGAGGCTACTCAGGCATCTCCGCCTCAGGCTCATCGTAGCACTTCTCGTCTCCCCGCCGCAGCGGAACGTGTTGGGTCCTCCCTGACCTCGGGATTGTCTTCCATTATTAATGTTTGGTTTGATGGGGCGGCCAAGCGTGGCCAAGGAGGTAGTATCGGTTTCGTAGGTTTCCATGGGACAGGTACTGTGCTCTTTGCTTTTGGCAAATATTATGATGGTATTCAAGATCCATTTATTATGGAGTGTTTAGCCTTGCGTGATGCCTTGCAGTGGTGTCTAACCAATTCCTTTCTTGCTGTTTCTTTGCATGGGGACTCTCAACTTTTAATCCGGTGGATGGTTGGAGGTGATTTGCATCATGATCGGGGAGGTGCTATTTTGGCGGATGCTAAGAGCTTGGCTTCATCGTTTAGCAGTATCTCTTACTGTTTTGTGTCCCGTCATCTCAATAGGGCTGCCCATCATGTGGCACAAAAGGCCCTCTCATCGAGAGTTCGACTATTGGTCGACTCTCGCGCTTTTCTTTCTTCTTCGTTATGACTTTTCTTTTCATCACTGACTTTGCGAAAAAAAAATTTATATCAATAGAAACTTGTTAATATTCTCTTACCAACACCTATCTACTTAAACGAACTACGTGGACTTTGATCCCGACTATTCGGGTACGTTTGCAACCAATAGGTTTCAAGTCCAACTAACCAATTTTCTTACCAATTCAACGTGCAAACGTCAACTTTTCAAATCACTCATTTTGATTGAACTACGTGGACTTTGATCTCGACTACTCGGGTATGTAGGCAACCAATAGGTTCGAGTCCAACTAATTAAAAACTCTTTCTTAATTTTGAGAATTACGTCGATAGAAGTGTGATCAAAATTGGACATTCATAAATACCTAATTGAATTTAGAATTAAATGCATAAATAAAACCGCAAATAATAATACACCCAAGTCCAACCATTAAAAATTTATCGTTTAAGTAGTACCCATTTGAGGCATTGTGGGTGTGAATACACTTCCCCACAAGTAACCGTACACCCGAACCCAAATCTCTAAAATTTCACAGACCAAATCCCGGTTTCGTCCCTAAGGTCCAGACCGGCCAAAAGGTGTTCGATCCACCACAATTAAGATCGATGGCTACTCCGAGCATATCGCGACGGGTCCCCCAATATGGAGGAGCGGTTGCGACACCGTGCACAATGAATTTGTGGCCGTGGTGAATTATGCGAGAGAGCTGCAAGGCCAGGATCTTGGATTGCACGGGCCATGCAATGGCCATGCACTCCCCTCGCGAAACTAATTGTAACTCTGCGATTTGGGGTGCACGGGCAAATTAGGAGACTGCACTGTCGTGCGTTCTGGCCGTGCAATCGCGCGCAACTGCATCTTAACCCAATTTCGGGTTTTGGAGAAGGGGATTCGACTTTTTGAGCAAAAAACAGAGTTCTAGAGAGAGAAAGTGCGAAGAACAAACCCTATGACTGATTTTTGAGCTGGGTTTCATCAATCAAGCTTGGATTTCTTCCTTGGAGTGAAGATTATCATCCCATAGCAGATTCTTCCCATTGTTATGAGTATGATTGCTTTGAATATTGTTTTCCCCTCTCTCTCTATGGAGTAGACCCTTCTCTCACTTGGGTATGAAGAACCCTAGTTCCATGTGTTAGGGATATTGATTGTAATGACTTTTGGATTGATATACTATTTGATTATAATCTATTGAAGTGTGTTGATTGACTCAATTAAATCCTGATCAACTTCTTTTGATTTCTGCTGCAACCTATGATAGATAGAATCTAAATAGGTTGTTAGAGCTTCTATAATCGGTAGTAGCGAATTGATTATATGAGAGTTAGTTGATTCACTGCTTTGTACTGGAATATGTTTTCAGTAGTGGAGTTCTGTGTTAATTGCCTTAGTGTCCTATCCCGGTGAAGACTAGTCGTCTGCCGGGTAGTCTGTCTGAGAAGGCTTGGTCAGCGTAAGAGATTCCAAGCTACTGTCGGATCTTCTGCAGTTTAATCAACAGTAAATCAACCAAAGGAAATTACAACTTGAACCTAACTAAGGAGCTAGGGGACTCATTCCTGAGTGACTCTCCTCTTGCTTCAGAAAACCGAACGATTTACTATTTTCTTTCTGCTTTAGTTAAACTCATTCTCACTAAACTCAGTCCCGCTAGATATTAGAAGTTCACAGAGTAGGCAGTAGATCTAGACCCCGGGTTGATAAATTAAACTTACCCACTATTTTGCATTTCTGGACTGCGATTATACTTGGTCGTAGTTTGGTGTTGTGTTTTAGCTTGTCAATCATCGCTCCCCGTAATTTCTTAGCAAGCACATATACACATCTGGTTTTTGTCCCCGCAAGACTATTGCGCCCTTTTTATTTTTGTTCCCACCAACCATCCCTCCCCTTCATCGTTAACAATCGTGCCCTACACCAAGCATAAACACAGTCGCTCCTAACATCCTCGTACACCGCCGCCAAGTTCCCCACGGAAACCTCGGCCACCGCCTCTCCGACCACCGTCTCGTCCACCTCTTAACTCGTAACTGCCTCAGGGTCTCATGGTTCTTCTTCTTCATCGCCGTTGTTGCTAGGAGGATTGTCGAGCTTAAGAAGGAGACTCTTCTATGAAAGTGTAAGCTTTGGTGAAGCTTGCGATTATTTTGACGGTTTAATTAATGAACGCCATTCGAGCGCTAGGGGTTTTAGGATTTGTTAATTGAAGAACACTGTTGTTATTGGGGTAGCGTTCAAATTCCTGGCGACGGTGAGAAGAAATTGACGATGAGAGACTAGGTTGGGACGTCGACGTTCAAATTCCAGGTGGCGTTGGGAAGAAATCGTCCACAAGAGACCAATTTAAGCGGCGTCAAATTTTCAGACGACGATGTGAAGGAATCGGCGACGGGAGACCAAGTTTGAGTGGGGAGGAATATCTCGACAGGATGGGAATAATTGGGTACCGACCGGAAGCAACACCATCTGGGCGACGAAGTAAGAAAGAAAGGGTAACGGTTGAAAAATTAAAATAAAAAACGAGAGATTTTGAAATAGCTGATGGTCATCAGCTATTTCAAAAACTCACGTTTAAGAATTTTTGAAATCTCTAATGATTGAAATCTCTCATCGTTTATGTCTTTTCCAAACGAGTGAGAGAGTCGGGAAAAAAAAATGAGAGGTGCTCTCTCCTCTCTCATCGTGGAATGGTGGGCGCTGGTTTTCCTCCTCCCCTTGCAGCTTGGCCGACAGGCGGGCACAACCATTCTCAACCTAATGGCTAAAATATTCGAAGTAACCGTTGTGAATCAGGACGTCAGAGGAGAGTGGCGCCACTGTGAAGATTGGAACAATGGTGCTTTTGAGGTCACCGGCATCCGGCAGAGGAGATCTCGTGTGGTCGCTCCCCAGGTGGATGCAGTTGGGACCCATAAACGAAGAAGAGAGTATTCTCTCAGGAACGGAGGCGGCTTGGACTGTCCCCCTTTCAAAAGATTACGCCGTTCTGTTAAACCGGCATGGAGATTTAGTCACCCCTCATCGGGTGATCTAGAAATTGATACCCCGTACCTTCCTGCCGCGCATCCTGCCCAGCGATCAATGAATAGAAAAGCGGCGGAGGTTGAATGCGCTGTGCGCATAGTTCAAAAACAAGAGCTTAGATCCCGCAATGGGACGAGCGTTGCCAATATACTTGTGTTACCGGGGGATTATTCCAGACCGGTGTCTTTCTTCCGGCAGTGTCCTCGGTCCGTCCGGCTGTCGGCGCGTGTTGTTCCCCCCGCGAAGAATTTTTGGGGCTTGAACTGTCCCCTGGATTTCCGTGGGGGTTTCAACGGGTGGGGATCCCGAGTCGTTTTCCCCCCAAATCGAATCATGAAGGATTGGGATATATCCCTAAATAAATATTATTTTATTATCCCCCCTAGTTTCCCAACCCAACTGGGAAAGCTGCTGCCGCATGACCTAAGCTCGGCTTTAAAAAGATCCAAGACCCCAATGATGCTTTCACGTATACACTGTGAGCATTGGTTGGAAGAGTCAAGTGGAGATTATAGCCTACGGCAGCAGCTTTTACTGGGTAAGTGGGTCTTTTCTCTTGTGGAAGCGTCTTTTCTCCTGTGGCTTGAGCATGTCCCATTTCGGATGATCCTCTTAGAAAGCACTAGCTTTCCCTGGTCGATCCGTATTAATCCTAGCCCTATGGTGATAGTGAGTGATCTTGGTATGTTACCTCTTTTGCAGACAAGAACTATGTCGCGCATTGCGAATGATCAAGTGGTATCCTTCTCCCTTGCTGAGGTTCAATCCGACAAGATCCGCAAATCCAGGGTACTCCTTGGCAGGCTATTCGCTGACAACCGCATGTCTCTAGGGGAGATCAGAGCATCGGTCAACAATCCTTGGCAAGGTCAAGGGCGCATCCAGGTCAGGATGGCTGCGCATGGACTCTACGAGTTTGTGCTTCCGACTGAGGCGGCTCGAACCTGGGTGCTTCAGCAGACTCCTTGGGTGATCTCTGATAAGATCCTCCATCTCCGGCCTTGGATCCCAGCAATTACAGCTCGGACTTTTGAAGACCTTGCTATTGTTCCATTCCGTATCCAAATGTGGGATGTTCAGGAGGATTGTTGTACCCAACAATTTGGGAGGAAAATGGCGAATGCTACTCTTGGGCGTGTGTTGGAAGCAGGGGTCTTCTCCTACTTAGACTCAGATCGTTATTTTGTCAAGGTGAAGGCTCTTATTGACTTCTCGAAGCCTCTGCGATCTCAAGTTCTAGCGTCCAATGACGAGACGGGAGACTTCTGGATCCGATTCAAGTATGAACATCTTCCAAGTTTTTGTTTCCATTGTGGCCGTGTCGGACATTCCCGTCAGGCATGCTCGTTCGACCCTCCAACTAGGAGGGAGCGGTTCGGGCCTCATATGTCAACAAAAAAAATGGGAAGGAAGGTCTTTGAAGAAGAGGATGGGAGACAACAATTCCATGGGCTCTCGGAATCAGTCTAGATCAATGATGACGCTCGTGGTCGTAAGAGGGCTGATGTCAGGCAGCCACATGATTTGACCGCCCTTGGCAGGGGTGGGGCTGATGCCCGGATGCAACATGGCCTGCATGACCATGCAGGAAGTATGAACTCTCGTGAGGGAAAAATTGATCAAGGTGCCGAAAGGCAGGAGTCGGAGTTGGGCAAGACACCTGTGGTGGGAGAGAGCCCGCTTTGGATGGGATCGTCCACGAACCCTTTTGTGGAGAAAGAATCGAGGTCCCTTGCTGGGCGAAGCCAGATCCGGGTTCCCATTGTGAAAGCCCCCAAACTTTCCATTGGGAAGCTTAACCGGCGAGGGCGTCTGAGGAAAGGCGATGCGAGTCGATCGTCGGGGAAGCATCTCCAAGGTCAGCCTCATTTGGAACCTGATGGGCAGAGGAACAGCTCTCCATGGGCTGACGATCGTATCCAGGGTGGGCAGGCCAATATGGAGCCTTCAACCAAGCTCACAGAAAAGGGAGTTGATCCCGTGCGACGTCAACGGCTTATTTTGGAGGAAGAATCGGAGGATGAATTTGTTCTACAGCCGATTTCCTCGCCCCAGCAGCAAACACGCCCCAAATGTGAGCTCCTGCCAACCAAAGTCGCTGGTGATGGGAAGCCTACAATGGGAGTGATGACGCTGCGCAAGGGAGCGACTCGTAGCAAAAGTAAGGCCAAAAAAGAGTTGCTGGTTCCTGATACGCAGCAGAGGGGGATTCCGAATGAGAATCGTCGCACGATTGGTCCCAAAAAGACTGGAGGGCGAGCTGAGAAATCTGGCCGAAAGGCGAATGGCGATGGAAGTTGCCCTTAGGAGATTGTGGAACTTCCCACTGCGGTAGGGGAGTGGGGTGATGAAGACCCGATCGGGGGGGGGGGGGGGGGGGGGGGGGGGGGGGGGTTCCGAAGGGTTCTGCTGGGGAGGCCCAACTGAATGGGAATGACGAGGCAGATGGGGAGAGTTCTGGAGAGGATGCTCAATTGTTTGAGGTTCGCCGCCGTGGCCCGAATAAGCCCAAGGAGGCCCAACAAAAGGTGGTCCAGCCTAACCGAGTGACCCAGGTGGTTAAGGCATTTGAACAAGGCCTCAGCATGGCGGATCCACTGATTCATGTGGATATGGGCCAGCCGAGCCCAACTGAGGTTCCTTTAGGGCCGACGGTGGGAGAAATTCAGGGAGGTGGCACTATAATTGATGAGTACGGGTCCAATTTGAGTGACCAGGTGGTGGGAAATAAAAAAAGACAGCTTCTGGAAATTGATGGGGAGGTTGCGGAGTCTCCTACCCCTAAGAAGCAATTTATTGAAGAGGTTATTGGAGTGGATCCGGTGGAGGAAGCCAGCCGTGAGTGGCCCCAGTCCGTTAAATGAGGCTTCTGGCCTGGAATGTGAGAGGAATTGGACCGTCCCTCACATTCCAAACTGCTATTAGTTTGGTTTTTTCCAATAAACCGGATCTCGTTTTCTTTTCTGAAACTCGATCGAGCCGGCGTATAGTTACCCGTCGTATGAGGGGCTTAGGTTTTGAGATTTCTCGTTGTTTTTTTTGTTGATGCAATTGAAGAATCTGGTGGTCTTGTAGCTGCTTGGTCCCCCGAAGTTAACGCTTCGGTGTTCTATCATTCCAATTTTTGTATTTGTGTTCGGATTAATGAAGTGGATTTTGAGTATGTGGTGGTATTTGTTTACATTAATTGTAATGCTTCGATTCGTGCCTCCCAGTTGGCTCAGCTTCATGATATT